CAAAAAAGACCCTGAACTACCTGTTGCCTGCCACTTCAATGCACCACCCTGCTCCCTGGCCAACATCTCTGTCTCTGGCTTGCTACAGTGTTCCAGTGAATCCCAACGCAAGCTGGAGGAACAACACCTCATTTTCCGCTTGGGGACCCTACAGCCCTCCGGACTCAATATTGAGTTCAATAATTTTAGGGCCTAAACTCTCCCATGTCTCAGTCCCCCACCCCACACACCAGGCCTTGTTACCACATAGCCTGCCACATAGCCACCCCCTGTTGTTAGTCACTAACAGTCTCCATTAACAACTACTCACCCTCCCAGCCTGATCGTTAGCAACTCCTTTGTCTGTCCAACTGTCTTTCTCTCTTTGGGCTCTATCCTACCGTTTACTCCCTACCCCACCCACCTCCCTATTTTCTGCATATAAACTGACGTTTTCCCAGCCACCATCAGTTCTGAGGAAGGGTCACCTGACCCGAAACATTAACTCTGTTTTCTCCTCCACAGATGCTGCCAGACCTGCTGAGCTTCTCAACAACTTTGTTTTTGTTCCTGATTTACAGCATCCACAGTTCTTTTGGTTTTTATCACCCTGGATTGTTTTTCCTGAAGTATCTGGAGTAGGATACGCCCCCTCAGCTTTCTGGCTCATGAGAGACACAATAACCTAGACACAGACCTTTAACCTGACCTCCATGTCGACATGACAATCAACACCAATCAACAATCTTGGCAGACAAAGATGCTCACCACCTCCTTACTCTTCACTGGATTTTGGTCATTGAAATGATTCTTCAGGATCAGGCAGGCTTCCCGCATCTTCAGACTCAACTCAAATCTGCAGGAAAACCAATCAGCAAGAGAGTCAGGACAGAAAGCAAACTCCCGAAACACCCAGTATGCTTAGGGGAGAAATTTTAATACTGCACAAGAAATCCTACAACCTATGAACTGCAACCAAATCATTCCTTAAAATTTTTCTGAAGAAGGGTCTAGGCCCAAAACGTCAGCCTTCCTGTTCCTCTGACGCTGCTTGGCCTGCTGTGTTCATCCAGCTCTACACCTTGTTATCTCATTCCTTAAAATCCTGGGTTTTACAAGTAGAGGCAGAGACCATAAAGACAAGGGGCATTTGCTAGCAATGTATAAAACTCTGGCTAGATACCAACTGGAGTTTGGTGGCCAATTCTGGGCCCCATACTTTGAAATGAACAAGGGTGACTCGGTTGGGGTTGGTCTATACAGGGCAGGATTGTGCACTGCATACTCAGTGAAACAAAAGTCTTCAGTGTGGAAAAGGCCTCAGCTCAGTTTGGAGATTTTGAACACATTGTTGGGCTCCACGTGTATCAGGCACCCAGAATAATTGTCATTGTAATGGAAGGTTTATGGTCTGGGTAATGCAGTTCTATAGGCCCTGGTTAAATGACCTCAAATGGAGCATTAACAGTATGTGGAAAAGCCAGTTGGGCTATGGATTTAACTCACTCTTGAGTGCTTAACATCAAGGTAAAACTAAGATATTTAGAAATTGATAATGTAAGCTTAAAATGGAAAGGAAAATACTTAATTGCACAAGACCTGAGTAGCACTTTGGTCCTCAAAGTGAGGACCTGGTTTGTGATTAAAGAATATCTGAGTTCTGTCCATCGGGAACTGACTGAAGCAGGTCCAAACCACAGGAGTGGATTTCAGCAAGGTCAGGTTTAAGCTCTATAAACAGCAGCCCTGCATTCAATGGACTGAATGGCCCACTGATGTGATCTAAGTGACACTGTGGTTTCAGCTTGAGTCTAACAGTAGAGATGGAAGATTCGCACCAGCCAACAGGAGCAACAAATCACAGATCTCGGGAAGGAAATGGTGTGTCAGAGACAAGCTAAAGAAACAAACTCTCCAAACCAGGAAACAGGAGAATGGGGAGATAAGGGGAAGTCAGCCCCACAAATGAGACACGCATCAGTTTAAAGCTGACCAGTGTAACTGGACACAATGCCAGGAATGTTCTGATGCAACCAATTATATTAATACAACATGTGAGAAAACAATCAATGCAAAATTTAAAATAAAAAAAAGTTTATAAATTCCGAGAATCTGGTATCCAAAAACAAAGCAGCACAGTTATCAAAGTCTTTAGCAAACTGCAATGCCAACTATGCTCAGTTTATGAACTCATTTCTAAAAATAAAGATAGGCCATACAATAACCTGCAGCAAACTAAAACCACAGATATAAACTGTGCAGCTGGACTATGTCCAGCGTGGGACTGAGTGACTGCCATGGAGTTACAAGGAATTCAAGAGTTCCACATTATTTTTATCCTACGCTTGCCACTTTACAGTAAATGCTAAAAGTACAGTCTTAGTGATCTTTGAAGCTTTTAGCCAAAGTTAATAAAATTAAGGTTGAATTATTGGTAATCAATCCGTTCTTTCACACCTTCAAAGCAGAGTGGGACTTGAATCCAGACCCAGAGGTAGGGGCACTACCACTGAACCACAGGAGCCCAATGATGAGTTGTGGTCATTTTAATCAACTTTCTCTAATATGGTCCAATACACCTCTGAGCCAAGTGGGACTTGAACCCAAGCCTAAGAGTATTATTTTCCTCATCAACCTGATTAGAGATGTTATTATACACCCCTGGAGCAGCTGGGATTTGAGCCCAGGCCTCCTGGCTCAGAGGCAGGGACGCTATAAGTGCACCAAGTAAGACTGTATTCACTGTTTGATACAATATCCACCTATTCCAGCATTCTGCATGGCATCATGCTCATTTCAGATGATAAGCCTCACTGGCTCATTGGAGCTGGGCTGCACCAAAGTGATAAATGACTCCTCCATTTAATGGTTTCCAGCATCATGAACACCTTGATATGGTTTCACTCTGCTTGATGAATGATTTGATTTATTATTGTCTCACGTATCTAGGTACAGTGAAAAGTTTTGTGGGCAGTACAGGCAGATCATACCATACGAAGTGCATTAGGGTAACAGAACAGAGCGAAGACTACAATGCTATGGCTGCAAAGAAGGAGATCAACATTAAATTTAAAATTTGAGTGGTCCGTTCAGAAGTCTAATAGCAGTGAGGAAGAAGTTGATCTTGAATCTGTCGGTCCGTGTACTTAAGCTTTTGTATCTTCTGCCTGATGGAAGAAGTTGGAAGAGATTATAACTGGGGTGGGAGGGGTCTTTGATGATGTTGGCTGCATTCCCAAGGCAGTGAGCAGTATAAATGGAGTCAGTGGATGGAAGATTGGCTTGCGTGACGGTCTGGGCTGCGTTCACAACCTTCTGTAATTTCTTGGGCAGAACAATTGCCGTACCAGACCGTGATGCATCCAGATAGAATGACTTCTATGGTGCATCTATAAAAATGGGTAAGATTCTTTACGGACATGAGCACTCAGAGTTCCAGAGTGTGCTTATTGGGTGTATTAGTGTATATATTTACTGGCTGATACAACCATGGGTTTTGATTGGCTGATGTTGATAGGGAGACATTTAAAGAAATCTTATACCTGCACCTAAGGAAGGATGTGCCTATCTTACAGAGAGTGTAACACACGTTCATGTGGGATGACAGGACTGTCCTGTAAGGAGAGATTGTGGAGATGGGGCCCATATTCCATCTCATTTAGAAGAATGGAACACAATATAATTGAAATACATAAATTTCTTAACGGGGTTTGGTGAGGATAAAGGATGTTTTCTCCCAGCTGGGAGCTCTAGAACAAGTCTCAGAATGAAAGCTAGACTATTTAATAGTGAAATGAGGAGGAGATACTTCACTCTGAAAGAGAGAATTACCTAACCCAGAGGACGGTGAAGGCTCTTGACTATGTTCAATACAACAGATTTCTAGATATCAAAGGCATTCAGGGATAAGGGGATACTGCAGGAAAATGGTAATGAAAAGGATAAGCCATGAGTTAGTGGATGTTAGAGCAGGCTGAAAGTGTTGAATGGCCTACTCATGCTCCTAGTTTAATTTATAGAGCATTTTTCACAGTTGCAAATATCATAAAGCATCCTCACACTTCAAAGTACTTCACTGATTGTAATCACTGTTGTCATGTAGGAAATATGGCAGATGATTTGTACAGAGCAAGCTCCCACAAACAGCGATAGGATAATGGCTCAATATTCTGTGTTTACGATGTTGTTTGAGGAATAAATATTGCTCTGGACTGAAGGGATAATTCGCTTGCTCTTCCTCAAAATGGCTCCATTTCAATTTGACATCTCATCTGGAAGATGGCCCTTTCAACAGAGCAGCATTCCTCAGTGAAAAATGTCAACTGTTTGCAATCACTCCCCAAAGTGGGACTGGAATCCAGAACTATGTGACCCAGAGACATGAGTGATGGTAGTTAAGCCATCACTAACTTGCTTTTGGCTTCTATTCTCGCTCTATCTATCTCAATGCACATTGTGAATTGCTCATCACCCACAGAAATAATTAGTTTCCAGCTACCTCCTTGGCACAGGTTTTACCTACACCCTGCCACCAGGTGCCGTGGTGTCTGACTGCCCTGTTGTAACAGGCATAATTCCCAGTTACCCCAGGGTTGGTTTTCAGTTCTTAGATGTGTGAGGTTCTAGTTAGCTCACTCGCACTGTTTTAAGCTGGCCCTGTGGACAGCATTAAGAGGTCCGCTCCACAGTTCCAGCATTTCCTGCCTCTCTTCCTTTTCTCTGGCAGCAATTACATTTCTTCCATCTTTATTTGATTGTGACATTCCAGTTTAGTTGCAAACTCCTAATTCCAGCCTTGTGATAATCTAGTCTTAGCAGTTTCTTCTCATTTTTTCAGTGTTGGAATCAGAGACTCCACTTGGAATAATGCAATCACAGCAGCAATGTGCAAGTACGTCATAGCAGAAATGATTCTTTCTGCAGACAGCATAGTCGAAGCCGATTGTCCTGTATCACACAGCTAACATCCACAATAAAAAGGAAAAGTGACTGTAGGAAATCTCTGCTCTGCAAATATCAGAGCCACATTAAACAATTTGACAGAATGAGGCAGATATTTTGTAACACAATATATATTATCCAAAAATGTAATATAGGTTGTATGTTGCATTTACTGCAATTGCCACCAGAATGGCAGACATTGCACTTACCAGGAATGGGTTATGAGAGTACTTTTTTTTTCTCCGATCTTGTCATTCACAAGTTTCATTTGTGTATCAGGGCTGAGATCAGTCAGAGTAGCTCAAGCCAAATTGAACCTTGAACATTTGAGATCTGAACAGCTTGGCTATCACTGCTTTAAACAGCTAAGTATTAGGAACTAGGTTCCAGATGTAAGTATTTAAACTGTAATTCATATAAATGGAAATGTTGTGAATGTTTCCCTTTCCTCGAACCACAAGAGAGGGTCGAGAATAAATTTCTAACTTTTTTTGTTGCATTGAACCAATGTTTCAATTATTTTAATGATGAATAATTAGAGCAAATCAATAGACTTGTTCTCACTTTTCCTTCACTTCCTCTTCTTTGCTTCTGTTCTCTTCACTCTTGTGTTTACTCTGCTCAAGTATTTTCTCTTTCTCTTTATCCCTCCATTCTGTAGGAAGCTCGCAGTCGTCACTGTCACTGCCTTTCATGTTTGTAACGCCATCTTCATCGGAACTATCACAGCAATTTCCCAACTCACTTTCCGAACTGTCTCCAATCACCTTCTCCAAGTTCTCCTCACCACTTGATTCCTCACTCGAAGTTGTCTCATATCTGTAATTAGAAGTGCAACAGAATTTTTATTGCAGTTCGTTCCCAAAACAGTAGGAAATTGATGATGTTGCTGGACTAGCAATTCAGACTCTTCAACTGATTATCTGGAAGCTTGAGTTTAAATCCCACCAGGCTACGTGGAGAGTTCCAATTCAATTATCTAAGTGAATTGGTCATCATCGGTAATGGTGACCAATGATTTACCATGTTGATATACAAACCCATCCAGAGCACTGGGGCCATAACATTTAACTCCCCTCCCCACAATTCCCCCACCTCACCACCTACTCCCTTCCCCACCACCGCCATCATCTTGACAGCAGAGGCCAGCAGTTTTTCATCGCTTGGCACCATTACTGGCAAGGCAGTGCTGCCAGTAATGCTCTCACTCAAGGCCTGGGATTGCTGAGAGACCCAGACCATGGATGAGTGATGACAGATGGATCCAAGGGTAAGGAGTGACTCTCACTACTCCCTCCTGTTCCTGCATCGAAATCCCTCAACATCCGACCGGTAGGGCTCATCTGGAAGACCACAAGCAATTTTGACAGGGTTTGATTTTTGGGTTCCCACATGGAGAGTGGGCACTAACTGGCGATTTAAGGGCCATAATTAATGGCGGGGCCAAAATGCTGTCAACGAGCCTTTCCACTTAATTGGGTTAATTGGGGAAGAGGCAGGAAGGCAGCAGGGTCCTGACTGATAGTGCACCCCCCCCTCAACCCCCGCCACCAAACTCAGCACAGGTAGGCATTAAACTCCACCCAAGAGTGCTGTTAACATGGAAAATGTTGATAAGTTCCTATCTTATATAATCAAGCAACACGGACCGAAACAGTGCAATTTGAAAATTTGCTGGTATGTAGAGGTCTGATAGAGACTGTGACTGACAAAGGTAGGAAAGGTATTTCCCAATAATCAAACCTTGGGATTCAGGTGATGGTTATAAGAAATGGAATTTTAAACAGAGATCACTGAAAATTAAAAATAAGAACAGGAGTAGGCCATTCAGCCCTTCAAACCCTCCCTGCCATTCAATATGATCCTGGCTGATCATCCAATTCAGTCCCCTGTTCCCATTTTCACTCCATACTCTTTGATTTCTTTAGCCCTAAGAATGATATCTAACTCCTTGTTGAAAATATTCAATGTTTTGGCCTCAACTGCTTTCTGTGGCAAAGAATTCCACAGGCTCACCATTCCTTGGGTGAAGAAATTTCTTCCTTATCTCTGTCCTAAATGACTTACCCCCTATCCTTACACTGTGACCTCTAGTTCTGGACTCCCTGGTCATCGGGAACATTCTTCCTGATTTTATCCTGTCAAATCCTGTTTTGCATATTATTGGTTTCTATAAGATCCCGTAAATTCTTTAAAACTCCAGTGAATATAGTCCTAACCGATCCAGTATCTCTTCATATGTGAATCATCCCATTCCAGGAATCAGTCTGGTACACCTTCACTGCATTCCCGCCACAGCCAGAACATCCTTCCCCAGTTAAGGAGACCATACTGCACACAGTATTCCTGGTATGGTCTCACCAAAGCCCTGTCCAACTGCAGCAAGATATCCCTGCTTCTATATTCAAATGCTCTTTACTCTCGCTAAGAAGGCCAACATACTATTTCCCTTCCTCACTGCCTGTTGCACTTACATGCTAACTTTCAGGGACTGGTGCACACCCCACCTTTCCTAACCTGTCGCCATTCAGATAATAAAATGCTTTCCTGCTTTTGGTACCAAAGTGGATAACCTCATTTATCCATATTATATTTCATCTGCTATGCATTTGCCCACTCACTCAACTTGTTCAAATCACACTGAAGCATCTCTGCATTGTCCTCACAGTCCAACTGCCACCAGCTTTGTGTTGTCTGCAAACTTGGAGATATTACATCTAGTTCTCTCATCTAAGACATTAGTATATATTGTGAATAGCTGGTTTCCAAGCACTGAGCCCTCCTGTACCTCAATAGTCATTGGCTGCCACTCAGAAAAACAGCCATTTATTCCTGCTCTTTTTACCCCAAATGCCAAACAATTCTCTATCCATGTCAGTACACTACCCAAATTGCATGCATTTTAATTTTACATTTAATCTCTTAATTAGGACCTTATCAAAAGTCTGAAAGTCCAAGTGAACCACAGTCACTCGTTTCCCCTTATCAACTCTACTGGTTACATCCTCAAACAAATTCCAATTGATTTGCCAACTATGATTTCCTTTCATAAATCCATGCTGACTCTTCCAATCCTGTCACTGTCTTCCAAGTTAAATATTTTATAATGGACTCTAGCATTTTCCAGAAAACTGATGTCAGGCTACCAATCAATAATGACCCCTGTTTTCTCTCTACCTCTTTTTTTAAGTAGTGAGGTTATATTAGCTACCCTCCAATCCACAGGAACTGTTCCAGAGAGTACAGAATCTTGAAAGATTACCACCAATGCACCCACTATTTCTCTGATCACTTCCTTAAGTATTCTGGCATGTACTTGTCAGGCTTTAGAGATTTATCAGCCTTTAATTTTATTAATATCCCCAAGACTATTTTACTACCAATACTGATTTTCCTCTCTCTCACTAGACTATTTTTCCAACATTTTTGGGATGTAATTTTTGTCTTCCTTTGTTTAGACAGAACCAAAATATGTATTTAATTCACTTGTCAACTCTTTGTTCTCCATTGTAACTTCCCCTGTTTCTGACCATACAGGACAACCATTTGTCTTTACTTTTCTTCTTCTCTTTACATACCTATGGAAGCTTTTACAATGAGTTTGTGTGTTCTCCACAAGCTTAATCATCACTCCCATGCCTCTCAACCAATCCTTTGTCCTCCTTTCCTAACATCTAAACTGCTCCCAATCCTCAGGTCTGCTGCTCCTTTGGCCAATTTGTATGCACCTTCCTTGGATCTAAAACTATCCCAGATTTCCCTTGTTAGCCGTGATAAAAACCATCTTTCCCATTTTCTTTTTGTGCCAGACAGGAATGAGCAATTGTTGCAGTTCGTCCATGCACTCTTTGAATATTTGCCATTGCCTATCCACTGTCATCCTTTTACATAACGATCCCCAATTCATCATAGCCAGGTTACGCCTCATACCATCATAGTTTCCTCTATTTAGATTCACAACCATAGTTTCAGAATCAGCTATGTCACCCTCCATCTTAATGAATTTACATTTATTTCAGCTTTCTTTGATTTCAACCTTCTAAAATAGAAAACTGAACAGAATAGAAGCCTTCAGGACTCAATATCAAGCACAATAATATTCGAATCTGAATACCTTCTTCCATGTCCTCTACCGACCCCCACATCTCAGGCCCTGTCATGACATGGACTACTTTCAGCACAGCCAATCCATTTTCACTAGTTTGCTGGTCCCCATTATCAGCTTCTCTTTCTCTCTGGCGTATTATCACATATTCCTTTGTCTGCCAGGTATTTTCCATTTCTCTCTCTGGCCTCCATCTCCGCCTATCCACTCACTCCTTTTTCCACACACCCTCTGTCTTCAGAATATATACCACTTTTTCCTATTTACTATCAGTTCTGAAGAAGGGTCGCTGGACTCAAGAAATTAACTTTGTTTTCTCTCCACACATGCGCCAAACCTGTTGAGTTTCACCAGTAATTTCTGTTTTTGTTTCAGAATAGAAACCTGTATCTCCATCTCAATAAATGCTTGAACGGTGTGGTGAAGTTAATCACATTATATATTCCAATATTGTATATAATATAATAGCATTATTGTATATAATGCTGTACATATTGCAGCATGTATTTATAGAAGTGTTTAATCAATCTATTCAGATGTGTTATGACATGCATCCAGAACAGGTAGGATTTGAAGCCAGGCCTCCTAGCTCAGGGGTAAGGACCTTACCTCTGCATCACAAGAATCCTAAATAACATGTATTTGTACAAGGGCTTTAATTAAAAAAGAATTCTCAACACCTTGTCAAATTTTATTCTATTATTCTATATTGACTCACTTAAAGAGACAATTGGTTATTAGACTAAAAGCCATTGTTTTAAGGAGGTTCTTAAAGGAGGAAGATGAGGTAGGGAGATGTAGGGAGGTAGGGAGATGTAGGCGGAAATTCCAAACTTGGGGCTTTGGCAGCTGAATTCCGGATCACAGAATTAAATTCAAAGATGCTCGAGAGGTCAGAATTAGACGAGTGCAGAAATCTCGGAGAATTGTGGGGCTGGAGGAGATTAGAGATGGAAAACAAGGATGAGAGTTTTAAAATCAAAGTGTTGCTAAATTGACGATCAACATAAGTCCTTGGGAACAGGGCTGAGGAGTGAAAGGGACTCTGTGCAAGTTAGAACAGGGAAGGCAGAATTTTGGATATCTTCAAGCTACCAGATGGTAGAATACGGAAGGTGGTCAGGAGTGTGTTGGAATATTGGTCTAAAAGATCATCAAGGCCCGAATGAAGGTTTCAGCACTGGATGAGCTGAGACGGGGCAGTCTCGAGCGATGGTATACAGGTGGAAGCAGGTGGTCCTAGTGATGATATGTTTGTGTGGCCATGAGCACATATCAAGGTCAAGTGTGACATCAAGACTGCCTCAGGCATCGCTAGGGAAAGTGATGGAGTAGGTGGTTGGGGAATGGAAACTGTCACAAGAACTGAAGACAAGGATTTTAGTCTTCTCAATATTTAATAGGAAGCACAGTTACACATACACGTTATCCACATCAATGCAGCAACATTTTGGACAAATAACTGTAATAACTTACTCGCCATTCAGAAGACCAACAAATTGTAGATTTTTTTTGCTGACATTTGATTCTGTTTTGTTTGAGCCATCCTTCTTTTTCATGATTGACTTCAACACTCCTGTTAGAAACAGACTGGTATCATGACATTGGTTACAATCATTCAGCCTATCTAATCCAAGACAGCCAGACAGTATAGAGAGGCTCTGTCCAAAACAATGGTTATTCGGCTTTGAAACAGTGGAACCTGATTGAGTTTCATTAACACCGTCACAGAAACCAATAGCATTGACCCAGGTAAATGTGAATGTGGAACTTGAAACATAAGCAGTCCAGTTATGAACTAACTGAATGGTGAAGCTAGCTCGAGTGACCGAAGAGTCTACTTTTGCTACTATTTCATACGTTCATACGAGCTGTATACAGCAGCACTGCTAAATGCAAGTTCATCTTCGTTCCATGAATCCATTTCTGTCAATTACATTTAGTTAACTGTCAACATATAACCTAGTCATTCCAAATAGTTGGGGTAAGTTCCTTTGAAATTAAAATTGTGGCAGCTAATCCTTTAATGCTCGTTCTAAGTGTCTTTCCCCCAAATTTTTGAATATTCTGTCCATGCACTTCACTGAGATTGTTAACTGTATGGCCCATACATACTTGGAACTGACACCGAGTCAAAAAGATGATTTGAATAAATTATTGACTTCTCGTTTCAACCTTCAAAGTGCAAAATGATTCACCAATTATTTCTGTTTGGATTTTGACCCATGGGATGTTGTATCACATTAAAATATAAAAACTCAGACTCACCTTTGGTAGGACTGACCGTGTAGTTCTGACCCAGGGGCTTTTGCACATTTACCTCAGGAATTGTATTTCCCTCATGTACAACTTGAAAAGATGTGCTATACAGCTTGACTGCAACACGATCCTTTGATACGTTCACCGTAGTCACCTCATCCTTAATCTTATGTTTAGTCTCACAATCTTTTATTCCCACATTCTGGCTGTCCTCTAACAGCTGATCATGAGCATTTGCTTCATATTCAATAGTTTCCATCTTCATGTCCCCTTTCTGTATTCCTTGGGCCCTTTCTTGTCTACATCCACTCTCATTCTGGCTGCAAATATCCAAACATGTATCATCAACATCTTCTTGTGTGATTGGAGTATCTGGACCAACAGAGGCCTCCTGTACTTGAAAGCTGCAGCCAACTCCTACACTAGACATCTGCGGTGTGCAATCCACAGACTCGTCAGTAATCTCCAAGTGATCACCTACTGCTCGACTCATGACTGGAATTCTGGCTTCCTCACTGGCATGGACCATAAGTGGTTTGGCCATGACACTGGCATCGACCACCGTCCTTGAAGTGACAGGGGCCACACTTAGTTTTAAGTTGTTCAGTTCGTTATTTGCATCCTCCAGTTCAGCTGCAATCATTGAGATGTTAGCTTTCTGACTGTCGATAATTTCTTGTAGAAATTCAATTTCCTCTTGTGCCATAGTGGTGAGCCCCAACATTGACTCAACAACTCCAACACCGATATGCCTTGTGTCTGATTCTGTTCCAACAGCTACCTCTCGAGTGGGTCTCTCGGACTTATAGTAAAAGACAACCTCATTCATGTCCTTTTTTTCTCCTACACCCACTGACCTTAGCAGTGCATTTTTTTCTGGACTGGTTGGAGACCCTCCTGTTGATGGGCCTTTAGACCATGCTCTGCTGCTTTCAGCAACCGTCAACTTCTCAGTTAGCCGTCGAAGTTCTTTAATTTTGCTTGACCTCTTCGCCTCACTGTCACCAGCTAAATCAATATGAAGCTCAACCACCTTCCTAGCTTCCGGCGGGTACTGTGCCACATTCCCTGTGCTGTATGACCGCTGCCTGAGGAGGGAGGCCTCAGGTGGATTAAAAACTTTCCTTTTTTTCAGCTCGGCTATGAGCTGCCTCTTCTCCTCATCGACCGCGCAGAGTTTCCTTTCCAGATATGGAATCATTTTCACTTGTTCTTCCAGCTCCTTCAGCCTCTTCAGGCCAGCTGCCATCTGCTCCCGGATGTGCTGAAGATGAGCCGGTGTGATACTCGGGACGGGAGAGTTTCGTCCCGAATTCATGGGGCTAAAGCTGAAGAAGCCAGTAAATGGCGGATTGGAGCCTGGGTTAACATCGCCATTTCCTATAGATGTTGGTTGGGCAGATGGAGATGTTTGGCTTTGACCACACAAACCAACACCCAGCTTGGATCCACTGTTCGATAACATGGGTCTCGAGACATCATCAGTTGTGAATTGTTCCTGTTGCAACCTCCGACTAGTCTCCAATAATGTCTTTTCCACACGAAGATTCCTCAAGGAAGATCTCGGGGAAGGTGGCGGAAGAAGACTGTTGGTTGCTGGTGGTGATGCAATACCAAAGTGCTGAGCACAGACAGGATCCTTCACGTCATTGCTAAGTGCATGAGTTCTAAACTTTGGGGTCGTGGGCAATACTTTAATGTCCTCACTGGTTGAGGAGGACAGTGACTCTGTGGAGGTCCATCCACTGGTGTTTGTTGTTGCTTTTATTCTGGGTTTGCGATGAATGGTCAGTTTCTTCAGCGTGTTTCCACTTTGAATGTCATCAACGTATTTGAGGAAATCCAAATCTAACTGGAAACCATATGGTGTTTCCACAGCATAGGGACTCTTCTCACTGTCATCCAACTCATTGTACAGAGCATGACTCCCCAGATCTAAGGAAAGAGAGGACATTGTTACCAAATTTGCTAGTAACAATAATCACCGCAGATAGCTCGACACTTTCACACTGAAATAAATGTTGATTTGGTCACACTCAAAGGTTTTTCATAGAATTTCATAGAATCCCTACAGTGTGGAAACAGGCCCTTCGGCCCAACAAGTCCACACCGACCCTGACAGCATCCCACCCAGACCCATCCCCCTATAACTTACCTAAGCTACACATTCCTGAACACTATGGGCAATTTAGCATGGCCAATCCACCTAGCCTGCACATCTTTGGACTGTGGGAGGAAACCAGAGCACCCGGAGGAAACCCACACAGACACGGGAAGAATGTGCAAACTCCACGTAGACAGTCGGCCGAGGGTGGAATCGAACCCACGTTCCAGGCGCTGTGAGGCAGCAGTGCTAACCACTGAGGCACCGTGCCGCCCATTACTTGTCGCTTTTAATCTGCTGATGGTCTTGATATTTTGGGCAGTCAAAACATACAAGAATTTAATCCAGGATACTGCTTTAATTTAAGCTGTAGAAGAAATGTCCAGGCGACAGAAAATCGAATAAGTAAAAAGATCATTTTAGGATAGTTGTCAGGAAACTCTTGTCTGCGTAAAAAAGTTAATGCAGAAAAGTAATCATATTCCAGACAGAACACTGGAGACAAAACACCTGGAATTCTGTAAGGAACTAATGGACACTAGGTTAGGATTACTTATTTGATTAACTAGGATATGTGAAAAGGCTTTCCACATCTGTTGTTATTTTGTGGTGAGGCCGTCATGTGAAAAAAATAACAAATGATCAGAATCACAACCCAGAACCCTTCTGCTCTAAGATTATCAAATGGAGGAATTCCAATATCCCGCAGGATTAATGGTGCTATTTGTGCACTGATTCAAACTCTTAGACAGCGGAGAATCTGTATAACGACCTTGTACATCCACAAACTTCAATACATTGAGTAACATGCTGCATCCAATGATTTGGATAAATGAGAGTTCAGAACGATGGGAGCAACAGGGAGTTTGGAAATTCACATTAGATATAGTGCAGCTAATGAATGCAGCTACAGGTCAGTTGGACTTTTAAGTCGAGGCCTGGAAACTAGAATTAAAATGTTCTTGTTAAGGGATGATGGACGCGTCACACTTCAGCTCCTAAGATTACAAAATGCCTGCAGTATTGATGAGGAGAAGCCAGTGAGTGGCTACAGCAGTGGACAATTAGGTACTTACCTGGGATGCTCAGATTCATTTGCGTCGGCTGTGACATCTCTCCTCAAATGTTCAGAGTGCCCATAGAATCAACAGATAATCGTGCTTCCAGCCAAACAAGCAACCTGCAAATACAAGACACTGGAAATATAATGCCACTACCTTGTATCAAGTTGGCAGTTAGATACACTGATGCTCAGATCTCCATTCTAATAAATACTGGCTTGAGACTCCCCATCCGCTCAATTCTTGATCTGAGAGCTGCCAAGTGAAAGTTGTACTTTCCAAACAGATTACGAATTGGAGCGGCAGTCCTGCCTGCTGACCAGTTACAGGCTTTGGGAGCAGACCACTACACATGATAAGGAGGGCCAATGGTTTTAACCCAGCCTTCTGACCAGGACCCAGAGCAAGACTCATTTTGCACTTAGCCTGATTTTTCACCACTGAAGTGATTGGAATAATGGGCAGAAGTTAAAACTGGCATTGCAGGCAATCTAGTAGAATTCCTGCTTGGCACATTAGGTTCAAATTAGCCTCTATGGCTAAACAAATAAATTATGTCGCATTACATTGTATCTTTTTTCTATTCTGGGGGAATCAAATCCTGTTGATGCTATTCATTTGTTCACAAACTGTAAATCAGAAGTCGCCTATACAAATAAAGAATAATACATAATGGGATATCTATTTTTTAAGTTTCAGGGACAGCAGTTGTAGTGACTAACACAGTGCCAGAGGGACTGTAGCCTTCAACTCTCCCAAGCTTCAAGGCATTCCTGCTGAAGACATTCAGAGATAGGGAAGGATGAAGGGAAGAGATAAGGCAGGTGAACATGAAGGAATGGGAATTAGATTCAGAGCCAGTGTGACTGGAAATAGAGTGAGGGTGGATTGTGGAATCTGACCTGACATGGACATGGAGCATATCATTAGAAGGTGCAGAAGCAATGCATGTCAGGGTGGAGTGTAGGTGGAGGAGGTGGTAGGGAAGGACAGGAATTATAATTATTACACAGAATGAAAACAAATTCACTCCCAACAATGGATGATTAAGAATGACAATGCTCTAGAATTTCTGCAAAGGTAATAACAATTAAAGAACTCAGAGAGAGAGAAGAAAAGGTCTCACATGATGTCCTTGGAATTTGAAGACCTACAACATTCTGTGAAATTCACTTGAGTTCCTGTAAATTCCTATTGTTCTGTAAATAACCTCATAGACCAGCAGCTTCACATAGATAGGCTGAATAGCTCAAATACAACCTATTAAGATGTCAGCCAGTAACTCAGCCACTCTGTATCTAATAAGTGCCTGTTTTAATTTCCAACAATCCCCACACAATATTCTGTTCAGTTCCAACTGGCTTGCCATATCTGATGGTGCAGTCACATAAGGGCCACTTGTTGCTGTTTCATAATTGATCATGATGGTTTGCTCTGACCATGTAACTGGCAATACCTTGATCCAATTCCCAATGACTGCAGTGGGATACATTATAAACACAGGCCCCCCAATGTACCACTGTTCCCTGATCACTTGTGTAAGAAAACGTCTAGGACAAAAATGTTCCTGTAGTTGAGCTTTGCGTGCTCGAGGTAAGGCGTTCAGTGTATGGAAAGCTTGAGAACTTCCTAATACATGAAATAAATTGTTCAGGGGTCTGGAAATCAGAGTATTAAAAAGGTGCTGAATGTACAATTGGGAGAGAAGGCTGGAGAGAAATGAATAGATCCCAGAATCTAGAGGTCACTGAAGAAACAGAAAAATCATCAGTCAGAGACAGAGAGAGTGAATCATGGAGGATCAGTACAGTCAGAAGGTACCTAACGAATTAACAAAATTCAGAGACTTCTTTAATAAGATAATTCTGATTTTTGATTTTGGTATTGCATTGAAACTCTGTGACCCTGCAATTTCTTTTGGTTCCTCTGTTCTACTGCCCATTGTCCATGTGAAGGCGTCACAATAACAGGTGGCTGCCTTATTCATTTCACACCATAAATTTGTTTAATCACAAACATATTAGTTCTCACTCCATATGGAATTTTATGACAAATTTCTGGCTAGTATTGGAAAAAATATGCATCAGTAAGCATAGTGGGGAAAATTTGATACATGGATTAATCTCCAGAAATGTTAGTAATGACTACGTGGAACTAAGACAGCTGGGAAATAAGTGATGCTGATAAAATGTTGCCTTTGACATCAGTTTACAGTCTTAGAGTTGAATTTTCTCTCAGTGACAGCTTAGTCGGGAAATACAGTCTCAAGATGTTCTTTCAAAAGAACAACTAAGTTCCAGTGAACATAACAAGAGGCATTTCTTTTCAGAATAGGAGAAACTAAGCCTGGCAGCTTGTTGTTATCAAGAATTCCTCCAACTCAACTTGTTCTTACCAGGTTTTCTTTCAACTGAGCTGATTAATACAAAGAAAAACCTCTCCAAGCCAGTTGCTGTTCAAAATAGCTAATCAAGGTCTAAAGCAAACAAGATTTCTATGAAATCTCTCAATTAAAAAAATACTTCTATGTCCACAACATAACGATCATAAGCAGTGAACTGTCCTGGAGGTATTGCTAGCCCTGTGAAAACATGCACCCTCTGCCACATTGTTTCTGTCACATTCATACACATGTTTCTCCCATGTCTATTTCACAATGGAAATGCCATCATTCCTCGCTCAGAAAGAGCACAGAATTAATATCACAGCTGGAGCAAGACATTCCACATTGTTCACCCTCCCAGACCAATGAACAGAACCAGCTGTGAGTCATATTGCTGAGGAAAAGCAATAGTCACAGCTGAGTGTGCAGCGCTGCTGTTGTCCCATCGAACAGCACAGACAGGGTTGAAATAAATCCCCTACTGACAGGGCAGGCACCTTAACAAACACAAATATTCCTCAGTCAAACACAAAACACTGTAACTTCATTCTGCTGACTGTGTGGAGCATGAATGAAAAGCCACGGAGCTGCAGCCACATGGGGCAGGAAGATAAATTCTCGTTTCTCATCGGACCTCTCTCTTTCAACTGCTTTTCCAGAAACTGGCCCTTTGATCTCCCTTTCCAGTCGTGAAAGTGCTACCAGTTTGTCAAATGGTTAATGACAAGTTGAATCCAAATTGACTCCAGCTGCGCAGTCAGATACAGATCAGGGAGGTGCTTCCTATAGCCTCGCCAGCAATAGTATTGACTCTTTCTGCAAGCGTGAATTACCACGAGTAAACATCAAGTCAGTTCCAAAGTATATTTCCTGACGCCAAGGCCTCCAGCTCCTGGATAACCCCAGTCTCAGGAAGCTATTGTGTTGGAGCAGCTTTGCTCCCTTCCACTCATCCTCATAGCAATACCTCATCTCACTGTCCATCAGGCAGAACTGCTTGGGAAGACTGGATGAAACAAATTTCGCTAAACTGGTGTCTCACTGCTGCTGTGCAAATTCCAGAATAAATACAGTGCATCACCTTCTCCTTAAAGGGGCTCCAATGTTTTACAGTATTAAATGTTGGCAACTGGTCCCACAAGTGTACAGGAGCCCATGAGAATTACAGCAGACACCTTCTTTCTGTCAATTCACATTTGACCTGCTGTTGGCCTGTTAAACATGCTGTCGGTTCTGTATGCCACAATTTGTGTCATGATGAGGTCTAGAAATATAGGGCAAATGGATTAGAATCAAACGCCTTGCCTACGTTTATCTCTTAAATGAAACATTAAATGGAGGTCCCCATCTTATTCTGGGAGACTTCTCAGAATAAAACTTTCCCAGCCACCGTTTATCCCCACAGCAATGCAGATTAACTGGTTATTTATCTCATTATTGCTTGTAGAACCTTGTGCTCAGCACCATCCATGTCCAAAATATCTGCCATCTAGAAGGACAAGGACAGCAGATACATGTGAACATCACTACCTGCAAATTCCCTCAAATTCACACACCATCCTAACTTGGAAATACATCACCGTTCCTTCACTATCACTGGGTCAAAATCTGAAGCTCCCTCCCTAAAAGGGCTACAGAGGTATCCACACCACATGGACTGCAAAGTGAACATAAAAGTAGCCATAGTGACTGCCATAGAGAGATGATTGGTAACCAGGCCTCGGGCAATGGGCAAGGTTCACATGACAAGGCCTTCATGGTGACCTCATCCCATACGGGAATGGAGCTGTTATCATCAGTCTGCATCGCAAACCAGCTGGAATCCAACTATGCAAGATAGTGAAATTTGAATTCAATAGAAATCTGAAACTAAAAGCTAGCCTCATGGTGACCATGTAGCCAATGTTGATTGTTGTAAAAACTAATGTCCTTTAGGGAAGGAAATCTACCAGCCTCACCTGGTCTGATCTCCATGTGATTCCAAACCCACAGCAAGGTAGTTGATACTTAACTGCTCTCTGGACAATTATGAATGGGCAATAAATGCTAGTCTTAAACAGCAATGCCCACATCTCATGAACAAATAATAACAAAAATATGCAAGTCACTTTAGGATGTTCAGATTATATATAATTGCCCATTCTTTCTTTACCTTTGCTGTAATTATGTTGTGATGTCTCAGGACTGCCTCAGCCATGACATCAGTAGCTATACTTGGCAGCACTACAGACGAGAGTTCCCAGCAGTTAGAGATTCTGAGGTGGATTTTCCTTTGCTGTAAAGGTGAACAAATGTCTCACTTTAATCTCATTACACTATTCTTCCAAACCACAGGGTGCAAACAATGCACTTTCAGCAAACAAATGATTTCAATTCACATAAAATGCAACTGGACTGCTAGATCAGATAAAGTGTATCACATCCAACAAACACAGGCTAAGCTGATCGGTTAACGTCAGTGTATATAAAGGGAGATTTACTCTGCATTAAGCTATGTTATAAGTGCCAGTTGTAAGTAAAGGTTGAGGCTGTTTCTTGGTGGGTTTGTAGTGTTGTTACCTTTGACTTGTATATCATAGATGGTGGTTTATAAGGATTCATATTCCCTGTGAACCCACCTTAGACACTATCCCGAGCCTCCTGAAAACGACAGACAACAAACCCACATAAGACATGGAACTGTAACTGTAGTACCTTACAATTCGGGACACTGATTCCCAGAGCAATCTGAGCTTCAAATAAAATTGGTACTTGAGTGAAATGTAAAACAAATTTTAAAATATCTCTTGCCCACTTAATCAAGCTCAACCCTCCGTAAACAGGATCAGACAACTTGCACAGACAAGTGCTGTTGAAGCAGGCTAATCTCTCAGTCAACAACAAACTGTGATTGGAAATCATACAGAGCAGCAGACCCACTCTGTGGAATGCAGATCGAGTGAGCTGCTGGCTGCTTACATGGATCTGACACAATCAGAAATTCCAATCTGAGTAATGCTGATGTTCGTGCAAGTGACAACTTGTCACTAAAGGTATAGCACCAAATAATGTTCCTTTGAAGAAGCATTTTTCTGCATTTGTTCTCTAGAAAAGCATCGCCTGCATGCTTTTTGCGGCCATTATTACATCAGCTATCCTTCCTAATACACCTAAACATTCGCTGCTGGTTGGAAATGCAACTGTGAAGTCATCACATCACAGCCTAGTTCCCTCTGCAGTCAGTCCCCATGTCTGTGGGACAGATGAGCAACTGAGCCTCTATGTACGTTCTTGTTCATTCATCCAAAGAGTGAGAAGCATTAGAATGCCAGAGTATTCCCAGACAGTCCAATCCATTTGGCAGAAAAAAGGTTAAAAACTTCTCAGAATTGGGAGCCGGCTGACTGGAATGGATTGTCTGCAATCCTATATCTGTTTAAATTCTAATCATCCTTCAAAAGAAAGAACACCAGAGGAGGTGAAGTCAGATACTTGAGCATCCACTCATTTCATTCATCCTCCTCTCGCAGACGTGGACCTATGAATGTTATTCAGCCAGACTAACACAGAAAACTCCCTCAATCCTAGCCAAGAATTACTTCTCCTATTGACAGCTCAGTAACTGGATTGTGGAACTTATCTGTTCTCTTTGTGTTGCTTCAGAGATTGCTTGGTTTGGTTTGAGGTAATCACTCTTGATTGAAAAGATTGTGAGGGGGAGTTTTGTTAGCAATCTCGCAGGTGGACTTTATTTTTCCACCAATTTGCTCCATCTCAGTTGCTGGTTCTTTCTGGTATTTGGGCCAGTGGGTGTGTCAATAGAGGTGGAGATTCTGTCAACTTCCCTGTGGTAAGGGGGTGCCCAGCTGCCTTTGCCAGGACAGAGGTGGAGGGTTCCACAAGCAGCTCTAAGGGTGAGGGGTCCCATGAGATTGAGGAAGTCCTGTGGGGGTGAGGTGTCTTGTGAGGGGTAAGGGGTCCCCTCAGGAGGTTAGAGTTCCCATGGGAGTGAGGAGGTCCTGTGAGGGTGAGGGGTCCTCTCAGGGGGTAAGAGTTCCCATGGTGGTGGGGGTGCCCAGTGGGGGTGAGGGTGCCCTGTGGGGCTGAGGGGCCCTGTGGGGGTGAGGGGCCCTGTGGGGGAAGAATGGATCTTACTTGGGTATCAGTCCTAGGAGACTGTCCAAATGGCCATTCCTCGTACATAAGTCTGTTTGTTGATAATAAAGGGAGCACAACATTGAGCCTGATCCTGTCCTTATTCAACATCCAGGTACTTGCAGGTTATTCTCCTTCTCCAATAGACACTATGGCCATAATGTGAACAGCAGGTTATTGTAATCGCTCGATTGGATTATTATTGAATACACCACGTTCGATTAGTATAACCATGCTCAGCCTAGAACGTGACTCTTGTACCTAATGTTTTGTTAGATTTCAAACAAAGCAGCAGATTATAAACCTCAGTCAGTCTCTCTGTCTCCTTCATACAGTGCAGATGTAAGCATGGAGTTGATAGAATCATGCATTGCTGAAGAGTTTTCACTAGTGAAGTAGCAGTATTGCTGATCTTGCATGTCAGTTCATCCCCCGATTGGAAAATTGCACTGACTAATTCCCTGAAAATGGAGCTTCCACTTCCAACAAGGCAGAAAGTTTCCTCGGAATGCCAGTGTGCATATGTTCTGCCCACATGTTTCTGCTTTACAGCTGGACCCTGCTCCAATCCTCACTGTACATTTATAAAACCTTATCTTTTCATAATTTTTCAGGGAGTCTCTCCATTTTAAGGTGCCCTTGACATTCCCTCCCTGTATCAGAATGACCCATCTTTCCCGGTGGGGCTGCCGGTCACCCACAGACTTCAGCAATTCGATTGGCTATCCTGCCTGCAATCCCTGATTGGATGAGGCTTCTTGATGCAGGTAACTAATTGGCTGCCTCCAGAGAGATCTCAAAAAATCAGACTCCACAAACCATCCCAAGAATCTCGTGAAGTGACAAAGTTCCAGCGGCTCAAAGCTGCCCTTTAGCTAGCTGTAAATGCCACACTATAAATAGAATCCAAACGACACAATCAAAAACAGGTCCAAAATTTTACAATTTAAAACAGAACAGGAACAGAGGGATACTCTGTCTCCAAGAACCCTACTCTTTTCCTGTGCCTCTGCAGTCCATTTCCTGGACTCGGTCTTAGATGTTACTTCTTCAACTTGAAGCAACTAGTCATCTGACCATCCCCGAGCTCAGTGGAAACAATGAAATGTTTCCAACACTGGATTGCCAGAAAGTGAATAGAGGCACAACAGTCATCTTCAGGTTCTGATGGACTGCCCTCTACCTCCATAATTAGTTCTGGTGCTTTAGACCTGCTGCTTGCTGTCATTGACTGAAACACAATCTGGTGTTAAAATGCACGCTGAGGAATTTATCACTGCAAATGAATTAACCCTTCAACTTCAAACAAGGCCTCACCATTCACACAGCCTATCCAGCTGTATGTATTGATTGGAAAATTTCACTGACTAATTCCACTGAGACAGAAAGTTTCCTCGGAATATCAACGTGCATATATTCTGCCCGCATTTTGCTGTTTTACAGCTGGACCCTGCTCTTTCAGGCTTCAGTATGTATTTATGACTCAGAGTGTGCACCAATGAATAATTCACTCCTGATGATTTTATACAATAATTTGGATTCTGAGTATAAACTGACAGACTTCAACAGAACTTTTCCTTGTTCTGTTAGCTTCCAAAATTAAAACTTTTCATCTTGAGAAACGGCTGATCCTGTGTCAGAACCAGGTCTCCTCTGCTTCCAGCAGTGAAACTGATCAGAGTGCTGCTGCTGGGATTTTAGTGCTGACCCCTGCATATGATTGGCACATTTGGAACAGGCTTCACATGAAGAGATTTAACAAAAAAGTGAAACTTGTTTTCAGAGAGCTGTGTGGAAAGACCACCAGTGCGAAACCACCAGTACTACTGGCTAGACTGGCTACATAATAACATCACTGACTTGGTGATGAACCAGCAGAAGAAGTATCAGCACCTGAAACCTTTTCCCAAAAGACCTCTTGTCGACAGGATTCCTAGGTGTGTGTCTATTAATGTCCTGTTGACAGGCTGAACATCTGGTTGCCCTAAAACAGTGGTACACTAACCCTGGCACTCACGGTGTAGAGGAGGCTCAAGTATGTGATGGGCTTCTAACTAAATTGACCCCCACTCAGATAGAATTTCATGTTGGTCTCAGACCCTGAAACCATCCTCAGGGACCCATATTTTGAGCTGTGTCTGGAGCTGTTTCCTCCGTTCAACACAGAGAGGGGTTTCCTGAACAGTCACTGTTACAGTCCCTGCACTTCCTCACCTTCTTCCACTGCGTGGATAAACCTGGTATTCCACTCTGCTGTCAGAGTGGTGGAGGCATCCAGTAGAGGGCACTCCAAGTCAGTGTTCTTCCCATTTCCATTGGGGATTTAGAGGGTGGAGTGATTAGAATGAGGGTCAGGTGGATCTCAAGGAGTATATGATCCCTTGTTGGAGCTGTTAACCTGTGCCAATCAGGGAGCACTGGCTGACAAATATAAACAGGAGTCTCAGAGATTCAATTTGTTCCAGGGACTGGCTTTGAGCAAGCTAGGCAGAGTCTATGTACTGTGCACATGTAAGTAAAAAAAAAAAAAAAAAAGGGTGATAGGATGCCTGTCTCTTTGGAGTTATTTCTGAGGGGAGGATTTTACATGCAACAGTCCTGTATAAATCAGAGGTTAAGTAGGTTCAAGGACTCCCACACCAATTGTTATTTTTGCAATCCCAAGGAGTTTATGCTCAATGTATATATGAATTGCACTGGGCTACAACCCCTGTTTTGAAAAAGATTGTTTCCAAACTTTTGTTGTACATCTACCCCATACTCCCGAACATTGAGTGCCTGGTGATGAGACGGGTGAGTGGATTGAAAGATCTCCCTGTGGGTCTTGCTGAGATTGCTGTTAACAAATCCAGATAGGTCCAGTCATGTGGGTTGGTGAGAGGTCATTACACTTGACTGTCTGCCTCTCTTCCATGGTTATGTCTGTGCTCAGTTGTCCTTGGACAGAGAGCACACAGTGTCTCCCAGGGGGCTTCAGGCTGTCTGTAACTGGTGGGCAATGTGGGTGTGGGTGTCCAAAAATGATATTTTAATTTCAATTTGATAAGTTCCCTTTGAAATTTTGACTTTTGTTACAGCTTCCTTGTGGAGCTGACAACTCTAATTTGGTTTATTTAGCTAATTGGATATATTTTAAAACAG